ATAAACTTCCAAATTCAGTGAACCAGTTACAACAACTTAACCTGATCTACTCTGCTTTCATAGAAGCTGAATATAATGTTTACCTTGAGTCTAATCATCGAGTCACTAACACATATGGGTACAGTTAAATCACATCCAGACATTTGCTTTTAATTTCAAGGCATTTTAATTTACAGACTATTTTGAATCTCTCCTAAAGGGTCAGGAGTTGAGGAAATTAGCAAAAAGCAGTGGCAGTTCACTTCTTCCAGTGACAGGGACAGCACAGGACATTACAAACTTGTTAGGGATAAAATGAAAACAAAACAAAACAAGCCCTGTCTTTCCAGTTTTTTTCAGTCTACATTTCTTTCAGAGGTCAAGGTCGTGTCTGGCAGAAAAGAACAGGAGGGAGGGCAGGTCTTTCCAGGTGAGCTCATCACCCCTCAAGCTCACCCTCCCTGTCAATCAGTCAAGGGCGGACGGGTGTGGGCTTGGGAGGGTGTCTGGTCAGCTTGGCTCCTTGGCTGACTTCTTATCTTTCCATGTACTTAAGGGTCTCAGGGGCTACCCTGGTCCATTTTGGAGTTTATTCTGATACCCTAAAATAAAATGGTAGCCACAGAAGATTTTCCAAAAGGGGGAAAACCCCCCAAAAAACATATCCTGAGGGAGCAAGGCAGCATGAGGAGGAGGTAAAGGGACAAGGAATGGCAGGTCATCAGGTGGGTACCCAACAGCTAGACTAGGAATCAGGCCGGTTGGAAGCCCTGGGTCAGCCTAGGCAGCCTCTTCCCAGCATTGTCTGTTGGGGACATGGCCAGTGGCCCTGACTAATCCACCAGGACTCCTGCTAGAGGTGTGGCCCCACTTGGTCCATGGCAAGGTGATGTCAAGACCAAGCTCAAGGTAAACAACCCTACAGTGAGAAGCACGACCTTCCCATCTTCCCAGAGCAGGCTGCAGTGAACCGATCCCCCAAGAGCTGGCCTGCCTCACTGACGAGCCCACGGGCGTGCTGTTGCGCTTCTAGACACAGATCATGAAGGGAGAACCCCTGAAGCCTTTGGAGCAGTCATCTGTGAGGACCCGGAGTGCAGAATGGTGGCTGGGTCATGATAACTGGGACAAAGATGATCTGGGGGAAGAGTCTGACTCAAAGAAGTTTAAGGATTTGAAAATAAATATAAAGGGAGAAGTTGAATGATTTGGAGAAGACCGCTAACCAGCTGTGGGTTGAGTAAAGAGCTCACGGTTCAGTAGGATTTTCTAGCCAAGGATTTGTAACCTGAAACTCTCTGCAAATTTGATAGGAGAGGAAACAACCGAGCAACTGGAGGAGATATTTGTAAATGGATCACATCAGAAAAATTTCAAAACCAGAGGACCCAAAAGGAACAGATTGGCAAAAAAGATTCAAGCGTTCCTAGCTGACCGTGACCCACCCTGCAGAGCACAGCGTCTGCCAGGAATCAGAGGCTGCAGCTAGGACCACGGCAGAGTGAGTGAATGTGAGGACAGGCCTCGCTGCCCTGGGGCACAAGCACCTCCAGCCCTCTCCTCCCTCGGACGGAAGCAGGTTAACAGTTGGCCAGCTGCCATTTTGACATCTCTATACGGGTTTTCTATTAAAAAAAGTATTGGCTTCACAAACTTATGTACAGCTTTTGCCCATTTTTCATGGTCTCTGTGTGGTTACCTTGTTTAGCATCCTTGCCTTGTCTAGAGGGGTGTTCTCTGCCCACATTACTCTGGCTCTTTTGACTTTTGGGGCATTTTCTAGCACAAGCCAGATCTGATGTGTCCAGGCCTACAGGCTACCCTGGTCATCAGACACGAAGGAGCCATTTGTTCCCCTGTAAACCTATAGATCACTAAATGCACAAGCAAAATCACTAGGACATAGAATCTAGCCACAGGAGAGGAAGAATAGCTCAAAACAGGCATTTGACACTAACGTTACTCAAGCATCCTTTTCTGGGACCTATTTTCCATAGTTAGTTGGATTACCTTAGGCTCTACTGACCTTGCCCAGCTGGAACATGGGAGCTCAGGGGCACTTCCAGCTGGGACCTGTGCTCAAAGCTTGAACCTCCTTGTCCCCAACAGATCTCTGTAGGGCTGAACCCCAAGATGTGAGAGTCTCTGTTTAAAACCAGGCCAGAAGCATGTCTTGGCCGGCACAGACAGCATGAGGATGTCAAGCCAGTGCTGAAGCCGACCACGGCCTTCTCAGGAGAGATACACACTTCTTTCGATGGCATTTATGTCTGTTACTTATTTCCCTCTGTGACTTGTATATTCTTTAAGGGCATTTTCCTTTCTTTTGTGGCCTATGTTTTTTCCTTGTTACTAAAAGGAAATCAATTTTGAACATGAGTTAACAATCAGATGAATGTGTATGTATTACATATTATATATATATCTTTTTCTATTTAAGTACAAAAAGAGTGCTTTGTGGTTCGGTTGTACCTTACTTTAATGAAGACCTGAGTGGCACTAAGTAGGAAGGGCCTTGTGCTGACACTGAGGGCTGCCGCCACCACTCTTCAGCCCAGTGCCCTGAGGGACCAGCTCCTGATGCACCTCCTGCGAGGCAGCACTGGTGGGGCACAAAGGAAGCCCAGGGAAGCCCCAGAATTTTAGGACTGGAAGGGTGGGAGCTAGGGAAGACAGTGGAATGATGGGTAAGCAAGTGAATGGGGCTCTCACCCACCCTCTGCCCTTTCTCCCCTGCTTTAATCACAGTAGCTCGGTTTTCCTGTATTTACATATAAGCTATGTGGTCTCAGGTAAGTTTCAAACGAGTACAGCACCTGTCTCCTACGGGTGATGAAGCAAAGTGACCGACTTTAGGAACACACCTAGCACTGTGTGGGACACACAGCGATGTTCAAAACACGTTTGCTATTATAAAACGTGGAGTCCACATTCGGGTTTGTTAGAGGAAAGAGTTTTGGAAGTCAGTTTTGGCTCATGTCCCTCATTTTTAAAAAATTAAAAAATAACTTTGTTAAAGTATGTCCATGAAAAACTATGTTTAAAAACGTACGTAAATGCATTTGTATAAAAAAAATTCAAACAAAATACAAGTGGAACGAAAGAAAAGCCTTCGCTTCTCCGCCTTCTCTCACTCCAACTTCCTTCCCCAGAGACACCCACCGTTATCACTTCCAGACCCTTTTCTCACGCACTTATATACATAAACATGCTTTTTGCTTTTTATATAAATAAAATTATACCACATGTCCTGGCCTGCAAGCTTCCATTTTGCACTGTGACAGTACATCTAGACCTACCTCCCATTCTCCCGTTTTTAAACAGCTGGACGCTGCCTCACAGGGTGGATACACCATTTCTTATTGGACCACTTTTCAATGATGAGCACCGCCTCTTTCTTGGTATGGGTTTTTTCTGTAGACTTCACAGCTAGATATGAAATTGTTGCCTCACACTGCACTCACATTTACATTTTTGATACATAATGAAAATTTGCTCTTCAAAAGGGTAGTCTCAATTTGCATACTGGTACTAAAAGCCTCCACTGTTACTCTTATAATGTTTTTGCCAACCCGATGTATGAAAATTAATATCTTATTCTATTTTTGCATGTACTTATTAACCAACTGTTATTTCTTCAATGAATTTCCGGCTGGACTCTGTACTCATTTTTCTTTGGTTGTCTTTTTCATATTGATTTTTAAGAATTCTTTATGTTTGCCAAATATTAACCATTTGTCTTTTTAAAATACAATTTTTATTGTATTTTCTCCATGACCATTCATGTGTCTTAGAGAGCTTAAACTGTTCTTTCCTGAGAAAGATTTTACTTTTCGCATTAACTTTATTTATTTTGAATACGGACGGCTTCACGGAGGTGGGTGCCGTCCTTGTGCAGGGCCGCACTGGCCCCGTGCCCTTCCAGTTTTAGGGTACGAGCTGCCGAAGCGTGCGCTTCAATGTTTGTTTTTCCCTTCATACAGCATAATATCCTTTAGTTATGCTTATGACCTTTTCTCCCCAAACAGAATTTTGTTCTTTTTATGTTGTCAAATCTTTTAGTACTTATCTTTATGGCTTCTGGTTTTAAGTCTTGTGTAATTCCCCAGCACCCTGTTATTACAGGAGAGCCTATTCTCTTCATTTTCCAGAAAAGGCAACTCGCTGAGGGACGGCAGAGTCAAAACTGGACACAAGTCTCTCTAGATTGCTGATCCAAGAATTGTCCCCACCCAACCATATCACTTCTCTGTTGTTACCGGCAGTTTAAAATAAAATCCCAGCTTTAAAGGAAATTCATGAGCTGTGACTCTCTCAGCCTGGATTGCTTCCTCCCTCCCTCCTCGTTCCTGTCTGCCTGCACAAGGTCTGTGTACTCTGTGTGTGACGAGGAAGCAGGGATGAGTCGGCCAGGATTCCTGCACTCAAGGAGCTCAAGTCTGTGTGTGTGCAATGATATAAACAGAAATTACTATACACTGTAAACATTTGGTTTCCCCATGGATAGAAATCTAAAGAAAGCATATCGATGTGTGAGCAGGGAGCCTGGGTTTCCAAGAGGGTTTTCTGAGAGACACTTTGGGCCTGGTCTTTGATTACATGGAGATCAAATGGTTCTAACCAACACCACCACATTCCACCTTCCCAATGGAGGTACACAGTCCTCAGACCAGTGACCTCTGCCTGTTAATCTCTGGGTATCTCTCTGACATGGAATTCTGCACACATGGCTTTGAAGTTTATGGAGACACAATGAACTGGTTTACTCACCAGAGACATTAAGAAGACAAACTGTACAGTAAAAACATAACCAAATTATAATAAAATCCAATAGTTAGTAAAGTAATATGGTATTTGTAATTAGGTGAGGCCTCTGACTCGCACTTACACACTCAGTGAAACCCCTGGATAGGGGACTGAGCACTAGAGCCCACGGACGGACCCACCACACGTCAGAGACTGAAGTGAAGCCCGCTGCCCTCCATGGAGGTCACATCCCAGCCTCCCTTGAGAAGTCTTACCAGGCTTCCATCTGCCAGGGTGCAGCCAGAGAAGCGTTTTGCAAGAAATCCCTCAAAGTTAGTTGTTCTCTGAATAGCAAAAAGAAGCAATTTCACTTCAATTTCCTTAGCTCTGGTACGCATAATCTTGGCAAGTTCTGTCCTTCAAAATAAAGAGGCAAGAATATTGTCAAACAAATGGATCATTCAAGATAAGACAAAGTAAATGGTTTTAATATGTGTTTTTAAAAAAAATAGCCCTGGCTGGTTTGGCTCAGTGGATCGAGTGTCAGCCTGCGAACAAGGGTCTCCGGTTCGATTCCCAGTCAGGACACGTGCCTGGGTTGCGGGCCAGGCCCCCTGTTGGGGGCGCTTGAGAGGCAACCGATGGTTGTATTTCTTGCACATTGATGTTTCTCTCCCTCTCTCTAAAAATAAATAAATAAAATCTTTTTTTTAAAAAAAGTGCGCGGCCATTTCAAATCCTGAGGTTTGTTACCAACTTAGTTTAACTGTTGGAGAATTTTAAGGTGAAATTATCCCCCAGTCAAGGATTATGGACACCAACTGGTTTACATTGTTACTACTGTTTTTAAATATTTAAATTTTTTTAAAATTTTATTTATCTTTAGAAGGGAAGGGAAGGAGGGAAGGAGAGAAATATCAATGTATGGTTGCTTCTGGTGCATCCCCTGCTGGGAACTGGCCCCTGCTGGGAACTGGCCTGCAACCCAGGCATGTGCCCTGACCGGGAATCGAACCACGATCTATTGATTCACAGGCCCGTGCTCAATCCACTGAGCTACGCCAGCCAGGGTAAATACTTAAATTTTTCAATGCTCTGTTGATAATATATATATGAAACAGTATCTTATAAAAATGCATACTTTTCTATGCAATTTCATGAGTCATTAGTTACCAAATGACAAAACCCTCAATCTTCCAAGGAAATGACCTTCTCTCTGAACAGAGAGCAGGAACCCTGGAAATACACACGAGGGACTGGACCCTCTCTGTGAAAAGTAGGAGTTTTGTGGTTCCTGCTGTTTATGTGCCTCTCCGGTGTTCTGTTTCAGAATATAAGTTGTTCGAGGGCAACTTATAATAGTGATAGAAGATTTCTTAGTAAGAACTGAGCTATGATCGTCTTCCCCCACAACAAATGACAAAATCAAACTAAACTTATTTGATAATTAAATGTCTGTAGGATTTTAGCCAAAACTCAAACAATGAAAGCTTAGCAGCAGTGCTGCCATTAGCCGACACAACAGCAGGCTAGTTGGCCTTAGAATACTGCCAGTCTCCTGCAGACTTCATTTTTCAGAGTTAGCTTATAAGTTACCAGTCTGTAGGCTAAATAGAATTACTTATCACTTTCTCAAGGAATTCATCTTTCTTTGCTTATCAGGACTTAGAAAGTGACAACCACAACTGACCTCGAATCAATACTAAAGGTTATCTAAATCTATGCTAGCGAGTGTGTTTCTTAAAACAGCTGCACGGAATGTACAACACCAAGAGTAAATCCTAACGTATGGACTCTGGGTGACAACCATGTGCCGATGGAGGTTCATCGATCGTAACGGATGTACCACTCCGCTGGGGGACGCGGTTAAGGAGGGAGGCAACGCATGTGTGGGGCAAGGGTATGTGGGAAAGCTCCGCCTCTTCCTCTCACTTTTGCTGTGAACCTAATACTGCTCTATAAAAATAAATTCTATTGAAAAATAAAACCCACAGCCAATTTCCCATAAAACATTTCTCCCAGCACAAAGTGCTTAAATTTACAACTTGACTGTATTCTCTGATTTTAAGACAGGCGGCCAACATGGACTACTCTAAGGGGGCTGAGTTATGCTTAGATACAGACGTTTTTATTAACCTGGAGTTAATGTAACTGTGAATTATTAGAAGGAAATATATTACCAGTAAAACAGTTACCACCACTGTACTGGTAGAGCTACAAGTTAAAAAAAAAACATTGACTCTAGCTTTAGCTTTTGTCATGGATATACTGATCTAACCTTCTTGGGGAATATATTCTATATTCTTGAATATAAAGGAACCATGTAATAGATAGGCAAGTCCAGGAAGCACCAAAGAGTCCCAAACAAGATGGATACAAAAAGGTCCACTCCAAGGCACCATAATTAAAATGCCAAAGGTTAATGATAAATAGAGAATCTTAAAGGTTGCAAGAGAAAAGAAGTTAGTTACCTACAGGGGAGTTCTGATAAGACTGCCAGCTGATTTCTCAAAAGAAAGTTTGCAGGCTAGGGACTTCTGGCCAAGATGGAGGTGTAGGTGGAAACACTATGCCTCCTCACACAACCAAGTTTAAAGACAACAAAGTGTTAATAACAAAAACGCAGCCAAAACACAGAAAATTCAACTGTATGGAAGTCCGACAACAATGAACCATTCATCCACACCGGTAAGAGGAGCGGAGTCAGCGGCTGGCGGAGCGGGGTCGGGCAGCTTTCTGCCAGACCGACCCAGGAGTGCAGGTGGTGATTGGCAGATCCCAGGTGTGGGGTGGCAACGGGCAGACCCAGTGAGGAAATAAGGTGGCTGGCTGACCTAAGTCACACATTCGCAAGCAGATAAACCAAGCAAAGGAGTGAGCAGTGAGACGGACCACACAGGCTAGGGACCCAGTGACAGGAATTAAAGCCTAAAAGCACCAATTGGAAAAACTTTTGGGGTCGAGGTGCTGGGAGAAGCTCTCAGGCTCACAGAGAGTTTGTTGGAGAGACCCACAGGGTCCCGGAGGGTGCACAGGCCCACACACCCAGGAGCCGGCACCAGGGGAGCCTGGTTTGCTTGTGGGAAGCAGCAGAGAAGACAGAAATCCAAGAGAGAACAGAACAAATGCCATTGTCCCCTCTCTGACCCTGCCCCCACATACAGCGTCACAACTCAGTGACTGGGTCACCCCACCCTGGTGAACACCTAAGGCTCCACCCCTCATACGTAATAAGCGTGAGCAGACCAAAACATTATGGCTCAAGAACAGCTCAAAACCCCAGAGCCAATAATTCCAAGCGACAAAGAGATAGCCAACCTATCACATACACAGTTCAAAACACTGGTGATCAGGATGCTCACAGAACTGGTTGATCTTAGTCACAAATTAGAGGAACAAATGAAGGATAAACTAATTGAAATGAAGGGAAATGCACAGGAAACCAATAGTAATGGGAGAGAAACTGGGACTCAAATCAATGGAGTGGACCAGAAGGAAGAAAGAAACAACCAAACAGGAAAGAATGAAGAAACAAGAATTCAAAAAAAAATGAGGAGAGGCTTAGGAACCTCCAGGACATCTTTAAATGCTCCAACATCCGAATTATAGGGGTACCAGAAGGGGGAAAGGCACAGCAACAAGTGGAAAACTTATTTGAACAAATAATAAAGGAGAACTTCCCCAATCTGGCAAAGGAAATAGACTTCCAGGAAATCCAGGAAGCTCAGAGAGTCCCAAAGAAGTTGGACCCAAGAAGGAATACACCAAGGCACATCATAATTACATTACCCACGATTAAAATGAAGGAGAGAATCCTAGAAGCAGCAAGAGATAAGGGGCCAGTCACCTACAAAGGACTTCCCATCAGACTAAGCTGATTTCTCAAAAGAGACCTTACAGGCAAGAAGGGGCTGGAAAGAAGTATTCCAAGTCATGAAAGGCAAGGACCTACATCCAAGATTGCTCTATCCAGCAAAGCTTTCATTTAGAATGGAAGGGCAGATAAAGTACTTCTCAGATTAGATCGAATTCAAGGAGTTCATCATCACCAAGCCCTTATTATAGGAAATGTTAAAGGGACTTACCTAAGAAAAAGAAGATAAAAATATGAACAGTGAAAGGACAGCAAACTCACAGTTATTAACAACCACACCTAAAACAAAAGCAAACTAAGAGGACAGCTAGATCAGGAGAGGAGCCATTGAAATGGAGATCACATGGAGGGTTAGCAACAGGGGAGTGGGAGGAGGAGAAGGGGGGAGAAGGTACAGAGAATAAGTTGCATAGACGGTAGACAGAAAATAGGGGGCAGGGCAAAAATAGTATGGGAAATATAGAATCTAAAGAACTTGTGACACATGGACATGAATGAAAGGGGGGAATGGTGGGGGAGGAGGTATGCAGGGGGGGAGGGGATGGGGGAATAGGACAACTGTAATGGCATAATCAATGAAATATATTTTTTAAAAAAGAAAGTTTGCAGGCTAGAATGGATTGGCACAAAATATTCAGTCATGAAAAGTAGAAACTACAGCCAAGATTGCTCTACCCAGCAAAGACATTTAGAATTGAAGGGCAGATAAAGAGCTTCCCAGACAAGAAAAAAACTGAAAGAGTTCATCATCACCAAACCACTATTATATGAAATGTTAAAGGGACTTAAGAAAAAGACAAAGATCAAAACTATGAGCAATGAAATGGCAACAAATACATATCAACAATTGAATTTTAAAAACACACTAAGCAAACAAGAACAGAGACAGAATCATGGACATGGAGAGCATTTTGATGGTTGCCAGATGGGAGGGGTTGTGGGGGAATGGGTGAAGAGGTGAGGGGATTAAGAAGGTACAAAAAGGTAGTTACAGAGTAGCCATGGGGATGTAAAGTACAGCATAGGAAATGAAGAAGCGGAAGAACTTATACGCATGAACCGTGGACATGAACAACAGTGAGGGCATTGCCTGAGGGAGTGTGAGGCGCTGGGTGGAGGGGGACAAAAGGAGAAAAACTGGGACAAGTGTAACAGCATAATCAATAAAATATAACTCTTTAAAAAAAGGGATTATGTAGCCCCTGGGCTACCCTCGTGGACATGAAGACAGGATGAATGAGAAGATCTTTAAAATGCTTAAAACACTAAGATGCCAATATTATTAACTACCCAAAGACTATAAACACTGTATTAAGGGTGGGAAAAATTGTTCAATAAATATTTCCTGATGGTTTACTATGTCACTGAAGTAGATTCTACCTCTGTCCCTATGGAACTAGCTATCTATAAAGTCAAAGAAGCAAACTGATGATGGATATGTACAACTGTACATAATATGTGTGATCAGACATAGGGGAAAATGTGGGGCAATGAATCACTGCAGCTAAATTTGATTGGTGAGTCTTGAGTTGGTGAAGTCAAGAAGGCAGGCTGTTCAAGGCAGGGGCTAGGCCAAAGGAAGTCTTGGAGCGAAGCTGGGAGCAGAGAGAAGGTATCATTGGATATGAGGTGATGTCCATCATTTGGTGGCATCAGGTAGTGATTCCAACCCACAAGACAACAAGGAACCACTAGACACGAGGACTGATTGCAATGAACACCAAAGTCAGTAGAGTTGGAATCTACCTTGTGATGTGGCAAAATTCTACTGCAATCCTCTCAGTCATGTACCACTCACGAGGAAACATTCGGCCGTACTTCTCCTCGTAGTCCACAAGCTGGCGCTTTATCCAGGCATAGCGTCTGTCGATTTTGTCCAGCCAGGCCACCTTAGGAAACCAGGGAACAAAACCATCCCAGTACTCAGAAGTAGTGTTGACAGTTTAAGGAAACAGCAAAAACATGGAACCAAAAAAAACCACAGCCAGTCTCTACTTCTCATGGTTCTAAGGCATCTAGTCTACTCTCTACTTGCTCTAGGGGTTTTACCCTGGGGTCTATGACCAGGTTTCAGAGGTCTGTACATTTCCTGAGACTGGGTGCAAAGTTTTATGCACAGCTGTCTTCTTCTGGAGAGAAGATCTATAGCTCTCATTAATTTTTCCAAGGGGTCAGTGACCCCAAAATGGTTAAGAACCACTAAACTGTACAGTTAGCTCCTAGGATTCACGATTCAACAATCAACTCTTTAAGATGGTAATACTAATAAAGTGTAAGTCAGTATACTTGAGAGCATACAATTTTCAATAGAATTCGAATGTAGTACCTGCTCTCATTTGGTGGATACTTACATCTTGGTTTTCTTGAAAAAGTACTAGATACTCTGACAGATGCTGTTTAATAAACTTCTTGATGATTTCCTGTTTGATTCTGGGGTCCAAAATATTAGCAACCAGACATGCGTCTCGTAGGACATTGCTGGGTCCTCCTGGCCTCTGTTAAAACAAACGTACAGCCATTCAAAAGCCAGAAACCACCTCTAAATCTCACGGTCTGTGACAGCTTCTACTGCTCGCTCTTCTCTTGAAGTTATTATTCCCACTCCCGTGACACTCATTCTCCTGCTGTGGACGGATATGTCAGTCCTTGTTCCTCGATGAGAGAATCATTAAGCTAGAGCGCAGTAGCCAATATTAAAGCTACTCCGTCAATCAACAATGAGACATTTTGAAACACATAGCCAGGAATGATCACCGGAAGTGTTGCTTTCCAAACACCAAAACTGAAATCACCTTGTGGAAGAGCCCAGAAACCAGAACGACCCCGGTCTCACTCCACAGGCGCCACTTTCCCAGATTCTAATCTCAGATGCCTATTCTTAAAGTTCTGCGTACCAAACAGTACGGTGGCATTTAAATCCTAAAATCAGGTCCCAAACCACCGGACTTGTTTTACTATAGCCAACCATCCAGATATGCGGCTAACGGTAAAATATAATATCAGCCCCTTGACCTATAAAGAACAGTAGAAGGACATCGAGGGGCTGTATTGATTCATCACAATTACTGAAGGCAATTCGATCTCGCCGAAACGTTCTTTATGCCATAAAGTTGATGGTAACTCGCTGAATGAACACAGCTGGCTGAGTGGATTATTGCAGAAGGAACACTTGGCATCTACTCTTGGCTTAGCTAAATAGCCACGTAGCTTTGGCACAGTTACTGAATTTCATCTGAAAAATAATAGACTTTAGGTGACGAGTAAAGTTCTTCCAAATCTTTGTGTTTTGCTTTATTTTTGTCAACTCTGTCCAATTTACCCATCTCTGCTGAAGTTTAAGTGTTTCACAAGTGTTACCTAAGCCGCCTCAGAGCTGAACTGTAGAAGTGCTGACTCGTGCCATGCTGAGAGGCTGTTAGGACGCCCTCACCCTCGGAGCGCGCTGACTGTTCAGCCTTTGCCTCTGCGTAAAAGCATTTGATTTAACAGATAAGTCATAGAAGCCAAAAACCTATGCGTGTATGAGTTCAGATTTTGTCATGTTAAAAGGACTTCACAGGTTACCTTGGATAATTTTTTTAAAATATCATGAAGCGCAGTTGTGAATAAACAGCTAGCACAAGGCCTTTAAGAAGTCAACAGCCATTAAAAGGAAGTAAGAAAACTCTTTGTTACCTAGCCAGAGAAAAAGGGGAGGCAAGTTGCCCTGACTGATGACTCAGTCGGAGCACCATCCCGTACACCAAAAAGGTTGCGGGTTCGATCCTGGGTCAGGGCACATACCGGAGTCAACTGATCAATGTTCCTCTGTTACACTGATATTTCTGTCTTTCTCTCTCTCCCCCTCCCTCCGCTCTCCCTAAAATCAATAAATATATCCTTGGGTGAGGATTCAAAAAAGGGAAGCAAGTTGTTAAAACCATTTTAACTTTATCTGTCTGGTGGGATCTGGGAAAAAGATATAACATAGGTCATGGTTACAGTCTTCTAAACAATAAAGCTGGGCTTCCTCCACATCTTTCCAAAGCTTCGTGAAACCAATGAAAGCAGATCCCACACTAAGAAGAGTCTAGTGCTTATAATTTATGAATACCTTACAATCCCTTCTCACAGAATTGCTTTCCAACTTCCATCCCCCACAGTTACATCGAATGAATAAGAATATAAAGTCCTCAAAGGACTTTACAAATGAAACATGTGATTACTGGAAGACATCCATAATATGGGTGGACATTAAAATCAGGAGCAGGTTTCCCACAGAAAGTAGTACTCTGCAAAGCTGGGGCAGCTACCCCCTGTAGCACAAAGAAAAATAATTAACATATTTCCAGTTACTGAATTACAGCACGGATCCAGGAAACGTTCCTTGGCCCAGCAAACGAACATATACCCACCACCTCTGCCCACCAAGCACAGCGAAGAATGCTGCCTGCCCGTGTGTACCTCGGCTCCTATGTGTGTTGAACAGTTCTGCCTCTTAAAATAGTTCAAATAATAGAGGAAATAAAAGCTTCAGAAGGTTCTTCTCTCGCTACAGATGTAAAGCATTAAGATTATGCCTGCTACAATTCAAAGGTAGAGCTAAAGGCAGTTAACCAAGCACAAAGACCGCCAAGTGAGGCAAAGCTTGCTACATGAGACATGTAACCAATAGCTCACAAGTGAGATACTGCGGGCTTCCCAGACACAACCCAAACAGCTATGCCACCAGTGAGAGCAAAAGGGATTAATTCCAAAAACCAGGATTCTGATTGTTCAAAGCGAGTCTCCTGACTGTGTCACTCCAGTTACATAAGCCCATGGACTCCCCTCCCAGTTGTCTCTTCACCAAACTGAAACCAATGAGTTATATAACAATCCTAAAAACACTGCGGCTTGAAGACTTTTTTAAACACAGCCATGAGAAAAAAAGGAATTTACTGGGCAGACAAGATATTAGGTTTGACACACATTAAATCAAACCAAAACAAATCCTCACTTTTTGATGCTGAAAGAACACAAATGAGGAATCAACACTGCTTTGGGATACTTAAAATCAAGGATGGTCTTATTACCCTGAACCTTTGACAAACAGACTTATGGCTGCCACCACATAATTTGGAATGATAAATGGAAATAGTAACTGTAGTGAATATGAATCTTGATTTTATCTAAAGACTGGAGAGAAAATGCAAAATAATACCTTGGTACCCTGGGAAGGAAATGCTTCTTCAAAATCGGCCAGGATTTGCTGTCCTAACTCAGTCTGGGCAGCCTTCACTCTGTAGAGAAAACAGAACATACGGCCTGGTGATTTTCAAATACTCATAAGTATGCAAAGATCTATAGCGGTCAGAACCCTTGGGAGTCCTTAGAAATAGGAAGGGGGAGGGGTGCTAGACAGGAGAGGTCACACACTAATTAGTAGCAGGCTTATGACCAGGATCCAGGTATCCATTTAATCTCAGGATGGATTTCCTATACCCATAGATTGACTGTATCCATGTTCTTCTAGGCCACACCTTGCCTGCCGTGAGGTAGTGTATGTTAACCATCCCAAAATATCATCGGGTGGTAGTTGTGCCATGGGGAAATGCTACATCATACTAACAGTAAGGCCCGAATCAAAGATAAACCCATTTTGGATTGCGGGTATAACTGCTCACTGGCTCCCTGGAGTGAAAAATAGAAGGAGATCTCCGCATTGTTTCAGAATTGTTTTTTTTTTAATTTTTTAAAAATTGTATTTATTAATTTTTAGAGAGAAGAAAACAGAGAGAGAAAGAGAGGCAGAGAACCAGCAACTGGTCACCTCTCGCATGTTCCTAACTGGGGACCTGGCCTGCAACCCAGGTATGTGCCCTGATGGGGAATCAAACCAGTGATCTTTCCTTTCGCAGGCCTGCGCTCCTCAATCCACTGAGCCACACCAGCCAGGGCCAGAGTTGGTTTGCTTTCCAACCCAGAATCCAAGATCAGGGTTAGAAGTTTTAACAAATAAAAAAAGAATGTTTTCCGGACTTGAAAGAAAAAAGACCTAAATGATAAGATAAACTGCTAATTGAAACTAAAGGCACCGAATGAAGATGTATGTTCACTCGAAGACTATGAATATGAAGACTGAATTACAATAAAAACTAGTTAGAAAGGGAAGGTCGGTACATAACACAGGGGTTTGCATGTGCACTAGGAGCTCAACAAATATTTCACGGGGTAAATGCAAAGAGAAAGAGAAGCAGCTGAGGTGAGAGAGGAAGTTCGCGTCACTGCCCCCTGCTGCTCCTGTCCTCCACCAGCCACTGGGCCACGCACCAGCCAGCACCAGCCAGCCTCCCGCCTGCCCAGCTGGAGTGCAGCAAGGCTCTGAGTTTGCTGCTAAACTGCCCTGAGCCCGAGGCAAAGACTTTTTATCTTTACTAAAAGCATCATAAAACAGTGTTCTTCCTCTCTTGGTCTCCACCCTGTTCCTTTGGAATTAACTTTATGAAATTTCTAGAAAAAGCAAACAACAGCTCAAAACCACAATTTCTTTGGCTACTAGGCAGTGCCTAGCAACCTAATTTTTCTTTCCTTCTTTCTTTTTTTTAATAAGGGGATAGGCAGGACCCAAAACAGTCTGATTTCTCTGAGGCATAGTCATAAATATGCCTTTATTTTAAATACTTTCCAGGGTTTTTCCAGTACCTTCAAAACGTTTAAAACCACTCCGATAGGTGGATTTGTAGCTGTTTTAGTTAATTTCCAAAGGGGCTAGAAATGACAGAAATAAAGCTATTACTGGCATAGCCCCCCCCCCCAAATCAGAATTAAGACCATCTGTCTAGGCTTGCCCAATGGACAATGGGAAACATTTCTGACAATAAAGAGAGAACAAGCTTTTGTAAAATTGCACCTTGGAGGTCTTGTGACTCTACACAATAGGCCGGGTAGACAGACTCCCCTGGTGCCAGGTCACAGAACGAGCTTCCAGAGCCCCAGGCTCCTCTGTTCTATACTCCTCTCAGTGGCGCACAGAGAGCACCAATCCCTCCTACGTTACAGGGAAAATTCCTGCAGGGGAAGTCCCACCCCCAGGTAGGGACACTCTCAGCCATATTCTCAGGGCTCCTGGGCCTCCCAGTGATACTGAATGTCCCAGCTCAGTCTCGTCACCCCACCATCCAATGACTCCACCTTCTTTCTGGGTTTGAAACTGTGGTGTCTGAAAAGAACCAGAGGCCTGGTACTTCGGGACTGCAGAAAGGAGGGTGAAGTACCAGACGCTGATCTGTAGATCCCCTTGCCACCTTCAAGCCACCATCAAAGTCACCTCTTGAAATAGTCTAGACTTAGCTGTGCCACTAGTGAGCTGCGCACGATTGTGAGGAAGTCATTTCCCCTACATGGGCTACAGCTGAGCGCAGTTGTAGAATAAGAGGGTGGGGATGGATGCCTGTACGAGAGGCCTCTCGGTGTCCTCTCCGGCAGTGACTATTCTACGCACCCATCGTATAGTGCTAGCTGCCAACAGCACCCATCTTTACAGGTGACTACAAGTCAGATATGTAATGAATGTCACAGCAGTAGAGTAAGTTCCCGCACACAAACATTTCCAAGCATCGTTTTGGAGTGTCTATCAATCAGTACTCAGGTGAAAGAGCAGCCGTCTGCCTCAATGGCATTAGTGATGGTCTGTAAACCCAAACCACAACCCCATGTATTTTTAGGGTGAGATGTGAACAGTAATCTTCACAATCAGTTGCCTAAATAGGATCCTAGAAAAAAAAATCACTTAAGAGAATCTATCTTCAGTTTGACTCCTTTGGAGTCCTTCCTCTTCTAACTGAAAAGTAAATGCCTCTGTCAAGAGATGGCCCAGCTGACACTCTGTCAGCAGAGCATCTATGTGGACTGGGCCACCAGGATTTCCTGGTCATTTTTATGAAGCTCCATCTATAGCTGAAAGAGAACCGGGCGGGAAAGAAAAGTCCTCCTGGCACCCAAATGAGCTCGGCCTGGGTGATTGCTGGCACCTCAGTGCTGGTCACTTTTAGGAAATAAAAGATTCTCTGTGTTGCCCAGAAAGTTCAACCAACTGGTTTCTAGCATCCTCCACGCCATGTGACTAAGGGTTGTTTAAAGGTGCCCTGTCCTAAAGGTGCTATCAGTTTTTATAAGGGGTGGTGGCAAAAGGGCAATAAATTATGAACACTATTTAGACATTTGTTGATAAGTAACCCCGATGCTCCCATTACTTTGGGAATGACAGTCCCAAAGGAAATACCCGTAACAGTTCACAATAAGCTGACCTCCCAAATACGGTCTGTCCTGGACAGAAGGGTTAATTGGCCACATTAGTCGGAGATGCTCCATTTCCAAACAGACAGGCCCTCTAATCTCAACCAAGAATGACTCAGCTGGACGCTTTTGAGACCATCAAGTACAACCCCCACGCTTTTGAAACCCTTACACTTTCAAAACTTACACTTTTGAAACAGAAGTTCTTTCAGAAGGAACTTATCAAAGGCACATAGATAGGCAGGCTTTTTTATTCTCTATTTTATTTTCTTTTATCACTACACCACGAGATCCCAATCTGCCAATTATCTCACACATATAAGAGACTAGGAAGAGCCTGGAAAAATATTTTTTATCCCAGGGTTTCATGAGTTTTAAGAGAATGCAAGAAGCTGCCATTCTTTCTCAGGAAATATTGACTAATTACTAGAAACATTTGCTTTCACTAATACTCTTAAGCCAGGAAGGTTTGCAATGTAAAGATGATATTTTTAAAATTTTTCCTTCAATGCTATATAATGTTTAAGCATTTTCCAGAAGGGTAGTTGCAAAAAAAATGGCTATATTCAAATCAAGGTCCATGAACTTCATATTTTAAATGTACAGGCAAAGATTTCAAAATACAACCTTTTGTACCATTTCTACAATTTAAAGACAGCAAGATAAATAAATCAGAGAAACTGAAGCAAGGTGTAGGGTATAACGCTCTTGCCTTCTCCCCTCCCCCCAACCAAACAGCCATTTCTACCATTTCCAGATGGCTCTACCATTGCTATGTAAATACCACAGAGGCAAATCACCAGAAATGATGCTAAAAATGAGAAGTCTGGACTTTCCTCAGACTTTTAATACCTCTTGAAAAACAACTTTAGTCAAGCACTATAAACAGAAGATTTCTCCCCTTGTTATTTTTAGTGTTACTTAATAGCACACACTTTATACAGACCTACACAGAAGTTTTAGGAATAGCGATTTTCCACTCAAAGAAAAGCAAATCCTCCTGTATCTGCAGCAACTCTACATTGTAATGAGTGTCTGGAGCACTGAAATAAATATACTGACAAAGTGGTAGATTTTTCTCTTTATAACGGGAATATGATTACAACAGTGATCATAACAGTCCTTCAAGTTTATAAAACTACCTTTTTGAAAACAATGTTAAAAAGCAAAGAGTCCTAAAAGAGTACATTTTCTTATTTGTCTCTATGTTGCTTTTTAATTTTTAAAAAGATTTTACTTATTTATTTTTAGAGAGAGGGAAAAGGAGGAAGAGGGAGAGAAACATTAATGTGTGGTTGCCTATTATGTGCCCCCTACTGGGGACCTGGCCTGCAACCCAGGTATGTGCCCTGACTGGGAATTGAACCTGTAACCCTTTGGTTCTCAGGCCAGCACTCAATCCACTGAGCCACACATCCAGGCTTTTTTATAAATAAAATTCAGTTCTGCTTCATTCCTGCCATCAACAATGCCCATCGGACACCACCAACCAACTGGTAACCAAGTCCTCAACACACCTCTTTGACCTTGTGGTCATTACTTGGTATGGTCCTTCTCTTTTCCAATCCAGAACACAGTGTCAACCCTTCATACCTGTAATCCACTAGACTTTTACAAAGCACAAATGAGGTCATGCCCCTCCCTGCTTAAAATCTTCCACTGTCAACCAAATAAAGAATAAATTCTTTAGCCAGGCATATCAACTCGGATCCTGCCCACCTACGGCAGGCTTTCACTCGCCATCATCCCCCCAAATGCCACCGTGTTCTCTCTCTTCCATTCTCCCTTCTTCTTTTTATTTTTTTAAGATTTTATTTATTTATCTTTAGAGGGGAAGGGAAGGAGAGAGGGAGAGAAATATCAATGTATGGTTGCCTCTCATGTGTCCCCTGCTGGGAACTGGTCTGCAACCCAGGCATATGCCCTGACTGGGAATTGAACTACGATACTCTGGTTCGCAGGCCTGCGCTCAATCCACTGAGCTACACCAGCCAGGGCTTTTCTCCTTCTCTTGGTGGTAAGATCCTACCCATTTTTTTAAAAATCAGATTAAAACTGAATTCTTCTATGACCCCTACCCTCAGCCCCTGAAGGTTCAGATTATCTCTCCTAAGATTCTGCTATGCCATATACAGCAAATACTAGTATACCAGTTTTGTTATATCTATGCTATACTGAAATTTTATATTAGTATCTGTCTTCTCCATACAAAAATGGTGAACTCCCTGAGAGCAGAGAGTGTGTATTGCTTATCTTTGTGCCTTCAGTAATCTAGCACAGGGCCTAGGATATACAAAGTGCACAGCAAGTGTCTATTAGGTACGAGGGCAAGAGTAAATGAAGGAGAAAAAGAGGTCAATTCTGGATTATCATGAGGGTAGCATGGATGCCCCCATCCATCCTCCCCCATCCACTGTGAGAAAGTCTGTCTTCTCCATCCAACCTTCCTTCTTTCTCGCAGCTCATAAAGCCATTTGTCTGCTGTCTTAGCTGCTTTCCCTCCCCAGTGGGATGTGGTGACCAGCCGTCTCTAAGTGCGAAGGGGTTAGGGAGGACGAGGGAGAGGGTGGTGACTTCCCTCGTGTTCTGCCAAGCTCTGTTCCGACATTCCTGAACGGTTCTTTGGCATTTCCCTGCCAAACGGGGCGTGTGGTGCAATCTCCCCTTCCTGCCCGGGGCCTTAAAAATAATAAAAAGAGCTTAATAAAAATCCAGAACCATATTAAAAATGTGGTAGACTAGAAATTCTGAGTCTTTTGGCAGTTTGTTACAAGGAAATAGACAACTGGAATAGTTTCCTTCACAAATGCAGATAATTGAGAACTGTTCAGATACTCAACACGCCAGGAGCCACTCCGACGGCTGGCCAGCAAACACCGACCCAGGTGCTTTGGAAGACATGGTCAGGAGCTGGAAAGGCTATGACAGACGGGATGTCCATGTTGAACAGAGTTAGATCCAATGACAGCTAAGGCTCCTTCTTATAATAAGATTCTATCATGAATATGCTGAGCAAAGTGCTTAAGCACTTCCCTGAACCATCTTTTCTTAAAAGGGAAGATCACTTTCTCCAATGATGTCTTACCTTTCAGAAAGCTGCCGGATCTGTGGAATTCCCATGTACTTGTGGAAGTGCTCCAGGACATTCATTACTCCCTGAAGAAGATTAGCAACTTCTCCATACTGTCTTCTCCTGGTCATGGCTCTGCAAGGAAATAAGAAGTTGAGAACTCTAGAAAAACACTAAGGACATAAGGTACAGATGTGGAACAACCTACTCTGAGCTCTAAAAACAGACACCAACTTGATTTAATAGGCATTTGCTGAACACCAATAAAGTAAGGTGATGTGCAGTGGCAGGGGGCAGGAGCGGCGGGAATAAGATTGGTCCAAATCCTCAAGGTCATAACATTGAGTAGGGGAGAGAGCCAAATACACATCTAATACCAAATAGGATGAACTGAGTTCTGGACAAAAGCACTAGTTATCTGCTATTGGGGTGGGGGTACAACAGTATGTGTGAACAGTGGATTCTCGTTGGGGGGGGAATCTGGGAAGACTGTGAATTTGGGATTTGGGTTGAGTATTACGGGATTATCAGGTTTTTGACAGGGAACATGGGGTAAGGATGTTACCATCTGAGGATTACAGTTTATGGGCAAACCAAACACATCTTCCCAAGATATACAACACAGGGCATTTATGTGCATTTACACGCCAACGTAAATCTGTATGTTTTAAACCAACGTTAAGCAACTCTGTGTCAAGTATGTCTACTTTTCCTATTACAAAGGTTAATGAAGCATAAAAAAAGGATGTTGATAAAATCAAACAGTTACACACACAGTAAGGAAGGACAAACTATTAGACTGAAATCTTTCATTAGGGCTGAGTGTTTAAATTAAATTAAAATTATACTTTTAAGTTAAAAGTATAATTTATGACTTCCCTTAAGAGGCATTTAAAAAAACAGGATTAAGTTCAAGCCAAGATGTGATGCTGCTACCACTGCCTGGTCGGAGTTGGTGCAAAGCTGAGCGTCGGGGTGGGGGGACAAGGCAGCTGCTCTTCCAGTCTCCCCCTGGCCTCTGATCTCTCACATCGTTACTCACAGGAGAATCGACCGGGGTTCACTGAAACTCTCGCAATGCCTGGGAGAGATCAGGAAGCAGTCTGCCCCCTCCCCCGCCCCCAGGTTGGACACTGCATCTAAATTTCTGCGATGATGCTCTTTCTCTGTCCACAGAGACTACACTGAGGCTGGGGCAGGGGGAGACAGAGCACAGATGAGAACCGACATCGCAGAACCTTAGTAATAAAGAAGGTCCTTACACTGCTTCTCTGTGGTAAACAACCAGCCCTTCCTTTTAGTACTATTTCTAATGTCCTCATGCATCATTCTCTACAGCTCCTCTATAAACCAAACAGGAAGCTACTGTATTTGAAAAAGTGAGTGGAATGATAAATCAAAGATCTTTTCCATATGATACATTCAACAACAGTGCAATTCAGCCCAACACAGGCGGGAAACCTGGCCGGGGCCGTAGGGGGAGATTATGGATGTGAATCGCCCTGTGGGCCTGGGTGGTAGAGATCTACCACATGGAACGATCCGTGTTCTTGCAGTCAACCTCCACATGCTTTCTGGGTGCCCTTCAGACTCACGTCATCTCACTTTAAAGGGTCAGGGTTAGGGTTAGTTTTGGAACACCAGAGGGCACAAAGCAAATCTGGTGACTGAACACTTGAGACGGACTGGCAGAAAGTGGGCAGGATGGAGAGAGTTTCCTGGCTGAGAAGTAAATAAACCTATGAGGCCATTTTCTGTGAGACCCATTCACTTCCTGTGGACCCAGAGGAGAAAGAGGACGCTGCTTACTCCAGGGAATCGACGCCGCCCGCCAGCATGTGCAGGTGGTTCAGCGTTGTGATTGAGGTGGTCAGGTGGCGCTTGGCGTGATCTAACTGCTTAATATCCCGGGTGATTTCTTTAACCTAAACATTGAAAACCACAGGAGAAAAAGAAGGAAGGTTAAAAAACGAGGTAAATCCATCTGCAAGTAGCTTTACAAGAAAATACAGCAAATGAAGCAAGGAAAAAACCCTTAGGTTACAGCTAAAACTAATACAAAATAATACTGAATGTAAACTATAACTGAAAAATAAAATAAAAGCCCCCTTCAGGTTAGCTCTTGGGGGAAACCTAGGCTTTCTCACAACAGATAATGAAAGTAATTCCCAATCAATCCATTTAAATTTAATTTGGCATTTCTTCAACCGACTTTACCCAGGGCAATTAAATCCTCAATTACGGGAATGAAATGAATTTATTTTGCGCCCCAGATGGAGTGACCCAAGTAGAAGTTTAGTACGGAGCAGACAGGGCCCAGAAGCAAGTATAACTCGTCCCCTCTTGAACAAGGTCAGGAAAGGTTCTGCCACCGGGACTGCGTGGATCAGGACAAAATAGATGGTATTAGTTTGCTAATTCTATTCATTGGCATTTATTCACAGAACTAGGATGTACTACAGTCTGGTCTCCAGAAAAGAAAGACTTTCTCTCAAATTTGCAGAAGATTACAATGTAAACCCAGTAACATAAGCTTAACGAGTAATGTCTTCACGGAGTGAGAAGGAAACTGAGGAGTAAAATTCCAACACTGTTGATCCGTTAGGTTCAAAAGGAAGAACTGTATCTGGAATGCAAGTACAGTGGAGCCTTGGTCCTTGAACTTAATTCATTCCGGAAAACAGTTCAAGAAGTGATTTTTTTCAAAAACTGTATTTCCTTTGTCACCTGAGAGATGCATGACTGACCATACAGGTATCAGCATGAAAAGGTTGTTAGGTAGAGAACAGAGACCCCAAAGTTTTGTTAGATGACCAAGACATTTTTTGTGTGTGTGAGTAACTTGGTCAAGAACTGAACTGTTCAAGAACTAAGATGTTTGAGAACTGAAGTTTGGCTTTATATTTTAGTCACCAGAAAGGTACACTCAGTGATGAGGTGGGAAGCATCCACCAACTTGGCCAACACCCAGCTGCAATCTTCCACTAGCTGCCTGAGTCTGTTTGACCAAGAAAATTTCTGAGGAGCAACGTGCTTTCCCAGGCTCTTTGATACCTGGAAGGAAGGGAGTGCCCTGAGAACAAGCACAAATAACCTGGTCACTAGAAGGCTCCATCTCCAATTAAAAGTGGAAAACCCAGCCCTGGCTGGTGTGGCTCAGTGGATTGAGTGCTGGCCTGTGAACCAAAAGGTCGCTGGTTCAACTCCCAGTCAGGGTACATGCCTGGGTTGCACGCCAGCCCCCCATTGGGGACATGTGAGAGGCAACTGATTGATGTACCTCTTGCACATCAATGTTTCTCTCCCTTTCTCCTTCCCCTCCCCCTCTCTAAAACTAAATAAATAAAATCTTTTTTTAAATGTGAAAACCCAGTAGTAAATTCACATGACCTGTATTTTTAGTTGGATCACCCAGCTCAGTTTGTAAGTGAAAAAAGTAGGGGGAAAAAAATGACAGGAATCATGGCTTCCAGCCACTGAGCAACTAACACAAGCCAAGTACTGTGCTCAGTGTTCTTCGTACATTTAATTCTTATAACCCTTTGATCTAAATACTATTCTTATTTGCAGTTGAAGAAACTAGAATGCAGAGACATTACATTATGCAGTCAGAACGTCAGCCCAGGAGCTGGCGTGCCACAGTGCCTCCCACGGAGTACGAGTGGGTGCGGCTGGATTCCTGGTCAGCAGCGGGCCCTCACAGCACACCACCGGAGGACACGGACTTATACAGGGAGAACTTAATCAAAACCATAAGCACGAATCATGGGCAGGATACATCCGCCTCCCAGATCCAGGACCAGTTTTCATGTGATACCAAGTTACATAATGTGTATCTTAATAACGGCTAACATTCACTGAGCAGCTCACACCAGCCTAGTACTACTCATGATAAAATATATGATGTAAACAAATGCTAGAGAAAGGGATCCAAAATGACTAGGGAACTATTTTGGGGAAACAAGAAAACATTTCCTACGTAAACACAGGGCTGCAAATGTGGGGCAGCAGGGAATGGGAGTCACCGCAGCTCTAGCAGCTCCTCCTCCTGAAACGGTCCGGCATGTCCTCGCAGGGGGTGCTGCGGTCGGGAGCAAATGGGAGTAAAAGCCCATTAACAAGTGTAAGTCATTGTGATGATGAGACGCAAACTTCCTCTTCCGGTACAAAAAGTTAGGAAGCAACCTAGACTCACCATTTGTTCTGATTTTTCTGCCTTGTCTTTGATATCTTTGATTTTGCCGAAGAGTTGCTGAATTGCTTTTTGGGCCTCCTCAAGTGCCTGGAATAAGAGAAAGAGATGAAAAACCAGACAGCACCAGTCCCTGCACTGCAATCAAGTCCAGCTTCAGAAGAAAATTAATAAAGTTCTCTTGATTCACTGCACTTCTGCTGATAATTTTACTGGACCAAAGCAGCAGAGACAGAGTCCAGCATTTGGATACAGGCAAATGCTCAGGATTCTTGCCAACCTGCACCATAAAGTTCTAATTTAAAAGCTAAACTATTTTCCTCTAGCTCAGTGATTACTACACGTATTGATGACAACAAATAAACAGGACATGCGCATCTGTGTGTGTGTGTGCACATGTGCACATGTACGTGAGCTGTAACGCTCAGAACCTGTAGAGACAGAGGAGACTCTACGCTGGGGCTGGGGAAGCTGTGAGTTTTGGCAGTTCCAGAGACTGTGCCTTCAAAAAAAATCACAACTGTCCGTGGGGACTACAGAACTGCAGCAAACCTGAAAGATATTTATAGCACCCGCTTGGAAACCAATGAAATAAAGTTAGAAAGGGACACTTAAAGCAAACAGTGAGCCAAATGTTTCCATTGAAATAAAAACCTACAAAGATGAATGCCACGCATTAAAAGTATTACAACCCACAGTAGCTTCAGCAAGCAGGGGAAGCAATATTCAGGGATTTGTGAGGGTGCAAAAGCCACACACGTGTAGAACATATGTATTATAAAAGATGCAGCAGCCAAAAGAACTCATGCTTCATTTCATCAAAAGCATTTTGTTTACTTTGGATTTGAGTGGCCTGTCCTCATCGGGCCTCACTAGCCCTTTATAAAGGTACTGACAAGGCCAACGTAACCCTGGAGCTGTGTGTGGCCGTGTTAGCGTGCACAAATAAGCATCCAGCCTCCCTGAGAAGGACACGCTCACAGAGGGAAGAGAAAAGCAAAGCTGAGATGAAGAATTTCATCTCAGAGAGAAGGACAACAGCCCTGTAGCCCTGATATGAACCTCTGAATTCAGCTATAGGTATTGGAAGAGCTACTGCTAGACTATGAACTCATTCGCTTTGTTTTTTGATAAAAATCCTCAAAAAGTACACTTAAGTTGCCTTCCTCTGCAGAAAATTCCTTCCTTGTTAAAAATCCTCAAAAAGTACACTTAAGTTGCCTTCCTCTGCAGAAAACTCCTTCCTTGTTAGAGGTAGGGATTACGTCTCACTTTCCTTCCCGAGTTTCCCAACTGGTCCGCTCCTGGTACTGGGAACCCTTTCTTCTTCTGAGTGCCCTGCCCCGTGTGCAGCTCACTTCCGAACACGGTTTTCTTTTGGTCTTCTTCCTCCTGTTCTGGGGTTTACAGGAGCTTCGCGTGTGGGGACAGGATGCTAAGTTGATGCACGTGACTATTCATTCTGCAATGAATGTCCAGAAGCTCCTCTGAGAACTCATCCTTTAGCCCCCTCGTTGCCAAGTCTGAAGTGACACTATTCCAGCAGCCGTTCCACCACCTCACTCAGCAACTGTCTCCACCCTGCTTGCTGCCATCCTACCGTTCTCAGTCCAGACCCAGCACCCCTGACACAGCTGCGGTGTCAGGAGAAAATCCTCCGTTTCCCAGCCGAGAGGCGGGAGTCCCAGGCCTGCCTCTGCTGCCACTTACTAGCCGTGCTTCCCTGGGTGTCGGTTTCCTTGTCTGAAAGCGATGACAATGGCACTCACTGCCAGGGTTCTTGGGAAGATTTAATGACATAACAGGTGTAAAAAGCTGCATGAATATTAAGTTTATTTCCAGGACTTACGATCAACCTGAGCAAATGCATGTACGCATACATGTATAGATAAACAGACACACATATCATGTTCTCCTGACAATTTTTCCTCTCGTGCACAACTTCTAGAAGCCCCCTCCTATCTGACCCGTCCTATTTTTAGCCACACCCTGAGTGAGTCCATGCCCACCCCATCCACCTCCCTACCCTCCTCAACAGCACTGACCATCAGGGAAATACAAATCAAAACCACAGTGAGCTATCACCTCACTGGTGCAGCCACTATAGAAAATAGTATGGAGATTCCTCAAAAAAGTAAAGGTAGAACTACTATATGACCCAATAATTCTGCTTTTGGGTATCTACCCCCCCAGAACACTAATTTGAAAAGATATACACACTTCTGTGTTCACTGCAGCATTATTTGTAATAGTCAAGATATGGAAGCAACCTAAATGCCCATCAACAGACTGGCCAACAGAGAAGGAGTGGCACATGTATACAAAGGACTATTACTCAGCCACAATGACGAATGAGATCTTGCCATCTGCGACGACAAGGATGGATCTAGAGGGTACTCTGCCAAGTGAAATGTTAGACAAAGACAAGTACAGTATGTTTTCACTTACATGCAGAATCTAAAAAACAAAACAAACATAAAAAACAAAGCAAACAGAAAGAGGTTCATAGAAACAGAAGAGACTGGTGGTTGCCATGGGGGGCAGAGGGAAGCAGATAAAGAAAATGAAGAGATACAAACTGCCCATTGTAAGGGTAAAGTCATAAAGTAAGTCATGATGAGGTAATGGACAACACAGGGAACACAGTCAGTAATCCCATAGTAACTATACATAGTGACGGTCACTAAACTCACAGCGATCACTTCATAAGGTACATATTAATAAACATCTAATCACTATGCTGTACACCTGAAATTAGTATAATACTGTATGTCAACTGTAATTAAAAATAAAATTTAAAAATTCTCTTTTTTGTTTCTAGTATTCACTGCCTCGAAACCAGGATACAAAATTCTTTTGAGCACTGCCGACACAACCTTAGGTTTCTTAAGATTATGACAAACCAAAATCAAGTTCTAACAAAATTTAAATGATAGGAATAAATTATTAGATGTCTAGTTATAACCCAAAGGAGTGAACCTTCAAAATAAAATGCTCAACATAGCTACCGACTGTGTGTAAATCTCCGCTGTCTTCCAGGGGCTAGTTCAAGTGCCATTTCTTCTCCAGCCTTTCCCCCAACTTCCTCTTCCCTTCCGACACCCTCTCCCCCAAGTGTACATGAAGTACACGGTAGAATCCATTCACTCATCTCTGGGGGCCCACGGTCCTTTATGTATACTTAACATTTGTAATAATTTTTTGCGGTTGGACTACGCAAACCTAGAGGGCAGGGACACGTCTTATTCATTGCGACTCCCCAACACCCAGGACAGTGCTCACACTAACAGAGTAGGGATTCTCTACATGCTTATTAAGTGGATTTACAACCAATCGACCATGGTGTACACACACAGACACACACTCAGAGCCCGTCAGGCAGTGCGCTGGCCATAGCAGTTATGGCTGTTCCAGCATTTCAACTGCAGACGTTTTAAGCAACATAATTCAGTTTTGCGATCTCCACATATTCAACAAAATGCTGGATTAATTAACCTAGGAAATTAGACAGGAAAAAAAATTTTTTTTAAATATTTTATTTATTTATTTTCAGAGAGAGGGGAAGGAAAGAGTGAGGATTTTAATTTGCCATGCCATCAACTTTCGTGAAGTAGCTACAATGGTAAATTATTATAAATTAATGTGTATTTCTTCAGAAGAACTTCATCTGCCTTAAAAGCCCTCTTCATTTAAGAAAAATACTTCTCAACGACAGTATCTTAATAAACTATGTACTTTTGGATCATTTGAGATATTGCAGATATTTTTTAAACATTAGCTTATAAATTTTCTTTCTGGGATCATTGCAAAATCATTTTTCTTCCAGGTATGTTCCTCAAGGACTAGGACCAATTTTAATACCTGCTTTATTCAATCAGTCAGCAATCCCTGCTCTCGAGACGTGTATATGATCTAGTGAGACAAAGAGCTCGTAGGCTAACGAACCATACGAACACCGAGACATAACAGAGATGCGTACAGAGCGCTGTGGGGTCCCAGCAGGACCATCTTCGGTTCTGGCTCATTTGTTTGGGACGAAGACAGAGGCAAGGAAGGGAGCTCCAAGGACTATCCTAGAAAGCAGCTCAACTTTGCAACTTATTTGGGCCAGAGTGGTTTAAAATAACTGTTATAAGAGGAGCATGTATGAAGTAAAGTACTATCTTCCGAATCCATTCTCTACCACAAACTTTACATAAATTCTCCCTTTCCAGCAACACAGACCTGTAAGTGAAGACTACTTATCTGAACTGCGGTCTACGGCTATACCGCCCTGCACGCGCCCGATCTCATCGGAACCGTTATTCTGAATTCCTGCGGTAGTTATACTACCAACTACGTTAGTCAGTATTTCACTAATTCATTCCTTCAATCACTGAGCAAATATTTATTGAATATCTTCCGTGTGCCAGGACTTATTCTAGGTCCTGGGAATCCAATGGCAGACAAGACATACATGGTTCCCTTCTCTGTCCTCAAGGAACTTCCTTTGAGAAGTGGCAGGTGGGAGGATATTGGAAAAACAATACATGAAGAGGAGACTTCCAGAGCGTGACAGGTGCGGCGAAGGCGTTAAGAGATGAGAGCCAGGGAAACGAAGGTCATAGAAGGTCTCCTGAGAAAGAGCAAATAAACTGAGACTTCTAGTATAAGAGTCAGGATTTGAGATCTGCAGTAGGAGACACCCAGGTGGGGAGAAGAACAAGTAAAACACCCTGATATAGAGAAGGCCTTGGTGTCTCCGAGGACCCTAAGTAAGGCAGCAGCGGGCTGGGTGGTACTGGAGCAGGGAGTGTTAAGAAATAATTTGGAGGAGTAGGCAGGAACCAGAGCACGATGGACTTTGTAGGCCTGGGGGGAAAAGCATGGGATTTTGTTCTAAGTGCATTCGAGAAGCCACTGAAGGGTTTAAACAAGGGACTGGCAGGGGGTCCACATGTGTAAAAGACCGCCCTGGCTACTATGTGGAGAGGGGACTATAGACACAGGAGTGAAATCAGGAGAGAAAGACATGTTAGGAAGCTGCTGTTGTCCAGGTGAGAGAAGGTGAAGGTCTAAGCTAGATGGCCAGTGGTGATGGGAAGAGGGGA